GAGAGAGAGAGAGAGAGAGAGAGAGAGAAAAGAGAGATGGGCTCTAGTAAATAAAAGTTTAAAGATATTAAAAGTCTCTCCTCTACAGTTCTACAGTAAGGGGCGGCATGGAGGAGCTATCACATTCATTCAGCGTCTTTGGGATCCAACATGGTACAATAAACACAGAAAGAAAGCTGGAGAGACAGAAAAAAAGCAAGAAGATTGGAAGAAAAAAAAAGATAAACCAGATGAAAAAGAAGGAAATACAAAAAAAAAGAAAAAGAAAAAATGCAAGAACCAATGAGCAAGAAGAACATGAAGCTGAACGTGGTGGCACACACCTTTAGTCCCAGCACCTGGGAGGCAGAGGCAGGGAGATCTCTGTAAGTTCGAGGCCAGCCTGATTGACAGAGTAAATTCTGGGACAGCCAGGGCTACACAGAGAAACCCTGTCTTGGAAAAACAAAACAGGAGCCAGTCAAGCTAATTCACAAACACTGATGCAGAGCCCCTTAAACCCGTGTTATAATATATTGAGTCCAATGATTGCTAATAAAACATACGTGTGTGTGTGTGTGTGTGTGTGTGTGTGTGTGTTTAGAGAAAAGAGGGTTATGACTTAGAGATTTAATCTTAGGAAGCCAGACTGGCATAGCATCAAGAAGCCCATCTCGCCTGCATTAGAATAATATGGCAAATAATGGTAAAATAAAATCCCATATAGCCCCAATGATACAACAACAACTTGAAAAGAAGACAGAAGTTGCTATTCCTTGGAGAACAGATCGTATTAAGTCCATAGAAAATGCAAAGGAATCTCTGCCGCTCCGGGAATAAGTAAACTTGGCGAGAGCTTTGAGTGTGGGATCCTTATACAAAAATCAGTTGCATTTCTCTGCCACTGCCAACAACGGGGAAACAGTTACTGTTTTAAAGCATCATTTACCAGGGCAGAGGGTGTGTGGAGAGAAAGCTCTGTGGTTAAGAGTTCTGACTGCTCTTGCAGAGAAGCCGGGTTCAGTTCCCAAAATCCACACGGCAGACTACGTTGTCATGGTAGCCTACAACTACTGTTATTCCAGTTTCAGAGGATCTGCTGGCCTCTTCGGGCCTCTGTGGGCATAAGGCATGCATACAGTCAGTACACATGCATGCATGCAGGCAAAATGCCCATACACATAAAGATTAGATATAGAAGTCTATTAAATATTATTTAAAACCAGGCATGGTGGTACCCTACTAGAATGCACAGATCTGGAAGGTAGAGGCAGAAGAATCAGGAGTTCAAGGTCACACATAACTGCCTAAGGAGTTCAAAGCCAACCTAGCTAGATGATGAAAGCCTGTGTCACACATATATTCATAAATATATTAATTAATTTATATATTATTCATTTATTTTATTATTTATTTCAATTAATTTATGCATAATGTTTTATTTTTAATTTAAATTGTATACATGTAATTTATTGTATATGCATATATATATATATACATATATATATATAATTTATAATAGCATCAAAAACATAAATGAAGGGGCCTTTGCAAGATAGCTCCATGGGTAAAGTGCTGGTCAAACAAGCCTGGTAACCTGAATTTGATTTCTAGAACCTACTCAAAGGTGGCGGGAGAGAAACAACTTTACCAAGTTGCCCTCTGATCTCACATATGGCCAGGGCATGCATGCACCCACAAGTACACAACACACACACACATGCACACACACACACATAAATATAAATAAAATATTTTCCTAAGAAAAAAAAACTGAAAACTACCAACCAGTAGTAGGAGAAATTAAGCAGAGAGATATACCATATTCATGGAGTAAAACACATACTACCCTTAAAATGTCAACTCTCTCTCAAATGATCTGCAAATTCAGCCTCACGTCACGGATTGGTTCTGGCAAAAATAATTAATTAGTGGATTCAGTTTTTGTTATCGTTAGCATTCCTTTTATTTCCTAAGATCGGTTTTATTGAGACTTAACGGACAGGCTGTCAAATATGTCTGTTCTAAACACTCAGTTTGTCTGTCTTGGACAAAAAAAAAAA